ACAAATTTTTCATTTATATAATTCGATGTTAAGCAACTTTGACTTGTTTCTACAATTTGACGTTTAAACAGCTTTGATGTTTATACAATTTGACGTTAACCAACGTTGATATTTATTTTGTTCATAAATTGACGTTTAAACAAATTTGACTTTTATATAATTTGACGTTAAGCTAATGTTAAATTGTTGTTTTTTTTTTAGCAACATATTTGTTTGAACTGAATTGTAAGTCTCAATAGTAACAGTTTTGAAATGTGTTTGAAAAAGGTGCAAGAAGTTAATCCTCCAGTTCGAATTCCGAGAATTGCAGCTAGTTTTAAGAATGGGAAGCCTCGGACGACAAATTTGCTTCGCACATTTCGACTGTTCGTGAACGTTGTTAGTCAGTTATTGGTGTAGTTTTAGTCAGTTAGATTGTGTTTGTGTCGGTGCCAGATTTAGTCCGGTGAGAACGCGCTCGCAGCGGCGCACGAATCTCGTAGTGAAAACCAAAAGCAGTCGTCGAAGCAGTCGTCGCAGCGGTAGCAAAAGCATCACATCACATCCATCTCTCCTCTCCCAAAACCAAATCCAACACCACACACACTTCAACCGAAGAGAGAGACACGCGCGCGCGCTTCCCAAGTTTTCTTAGTTTCTTTCGCATTCGCACTTTACGCGCAAACATTTACAAAAATAAGCAAGAAATAGATCACCAACAGAGTTTGGTTTTTCCATTATTTCGATGTTACGAAACGAACGAAATGAATTGTTGTTAAATTTGTGATTTGAGTGTGTCAAATTTCATCGATTTTCTTTTGGTTTTCTTTTCGATGATGATGATGAAGATGTGGTCAAGATGCGTTGTGCTATGTTTGCTGAGTGCACTTCTTCTATTTCTTCTGCAATCAGTCGAAGGTTTCAATTTGGAAACCGCGAATCACGTGCGGCACAACGGGCCTTCCTCTTCGATGTTCGGATTTACTGTTGCGACTTACAAGGAAAGAGGAAATAGCTGGTGAGTTTCATTTACTTTTCTTCGCGTCTGGAATAGCCCGTGGATTCGAAATAGAAACGGAACGTGGAAAAAAAAAAGGGGAGACTGAAGAACGGAGTTTTGTTTGGGTGGAGACGCCGAGCGTCGCGACGCCTTCCTTTCTTTCTATTTCTCAAAATAAAACCGCATCCGGATTAATTTCTCTTTCTTCAAGATCTTTGTTGATGTTCGCGATAAATTAAACAAATCGCCGAAGACTCAAATAAACATCAACAAACTCGAGTTTTGAAAACTTGCACACTTCTCATTAATTCTAATTTTGTGTAAATTTGACATTACAAAGTTTTTTTTCTTTTTTGACAATTCGTTGTTTTCCCGGCTTGCTATTATTAAATATACGAATTTTATACGAGCCGATTATTCACTTGTGCAAATAAATGAGATCATCGGCGTTTTTAGTGTTTAATCTTTAAATATAGAATGGATTTTAAAAAATAAACATGTCATCATTACACCTTCGCCACAATCCAAACAGTGTTTTGTTTATATAATTTCAAGGTTAATGCAATTTGACGTTAACTAATTGTCAATTTGTTTCATTTTTTTGTTTCTCTCTCTTACCAACATCACGTTGCTATAGCAACATTCTTGTTGTCTTTTGTTTTATTAACAAATTAGCGATGTTGCGTCGGCTACGCACAGAGATTATTCGTTTTGAATTTATTTATGCAAAAATTTAATTAAAAAAACCAGTTCTTTTTTTTCATCTATCCGAGTGTGTCTCGTATTAGTTTATTCGCTAAACATATTTCCGTAGTTGGAAACGAAAGCAAACACTGTTCTTGCATTTCAAGGATGGAATTTTAAATAAAATTATACACACACATATTTTTAGACTTTTGTTGCTTCCAACTGGAATATCTTAACAACTCGTTAAATTTGTTATTTCAATATTTCATTCAACGTTACCAACCCAAATATTTGAAATTTTGGTGAATTTCGAAACAAAAACTGTCAATTAAGTTTGATGGATAACCTTAAAATACGAGCTTCATTAGTAGAAATTAGGTGTAACGTAAAGTGTATCAATTATCGCAAAATTTTGTCCCATTTATATCTGGGCGGAACAATGCTGCTGGTGGCTGGAGACTGCGATAAAATGGGAGGAAACGCAGTGCAAAAATGTAAATTCCATTCATGTATTTCTAGCGTATCCACGAATTGATATGATAATATTGAATTATTTGCATATTTTTGTCATACATGTCATTTTGACGTACGTCAATTGACGTTGACATATGTCAAATAACGTTGACGTCAGCTGCAATTGTTTTAGCGAATGATAGATGATAACCTTGACATTACGACTCGATTAAGGTTCGAAATATTTCAGTTTTATCTTATGTGATTACAAGTTATAACAACAAAAAAAAAATGAAGTTTATTACTGAGTGTATGTCGATTTTGCATACGGAGTTTGAAATGTGTTGCGTTTTCTAATGTGACCGCGAAGGTCAGTAAAAAAATATTCGCGCTGGACGATAAAAAATTTCGTATCGTTACATAAACTCGCGATGTTCCTTCTCCTACTGCTCTGTCGGATCGATATTATTTGTTGTTGTTGCTGTTGACCTTTCGCCGTTTTCCTCTTGTCACATTTACCTTGAGTTGTTTAACGAGGTTAGAAATTCCTCGATCTTATCTCCACATCGTATCGTCCATTCGTTTGTTTTTCAACTGTTTCAACCGCTTTTTGATTGGTCAATACGATAATTTGACGTTTGCTGTCATTTTGACAACTGACGTAACTACATCTTTTCTATTCCCCAATTCTAATTTTCCAGCGGAACGAAACTTCTGCACGTCATCTGCATTTCTATGAATGAGAATCTGTTTTTTTTTTTTTTTTTTTTTGAGTGCGGAAGGACCTTCTGGCAAACACATGTTAGGGTCGTTATTATCGGTTTCGCAGACGTCTCTGTCACAGACTGTTGTTCTTTTCCTCCTCATTCGCAATAAAAAAAAAAAAAAAGAAAACAGGATGAAGTAGACTAATTATTTTTGTTGTTGTTGTTGATAAAACATGAATAAATAACGATGACTCACTTATCCGAAATTTGTTTAAAAAAAAAACAACTGTTGTTTTCCGTTCGATTTTTGTGTAACTTTTTTTAAAAGAAATAAAAAGATGAATTAATACCGCCGTCATTCATCTCTTCATTATCATCAGATTCTTGTGCATTATCAAATGAAGGGTTATTAGTTCCCCGTTTAAACTTGCTCTTATCTACCGATTTTCTATTTATATGCAAGATAAGACTACAGAGAAACACCAACCTTCTCCTCCTCTTCTCATCTCAGTCTTTCATTTCCACCAATTAATATAAAAACGTATCTTTTTAATCGTTTGATACAACTCAAATCAAATTCACTTTGCAACAAACGTCAGTTTTTGACAGTTCTTAAAGTCAAAATTTTATTATTTTCACGTTGGTAATTAATTGAAATTTTGTATTTATACGTTGGCGTCGTTTGGATGCATTAGGCAATATAAATACGTCATTTTGTCCCATTTGATTGAACGGATTTCAGTAACCATGGAAATAACGTTATGTTTACTTTAGTCTTTCCAATAATTCGAGATGTCAGCGTTTTCTAATTCGGAAAAATCTCTCTCTCTCTAACACTCGTTTGAGTCTATTAATCTAGAGAGAGAGAAGAACTTAATTGAAACTACTCCTAATGGCTGTTTCGTTTTCTTCTGCTGCTGCTGTTCGAATTGAAGCTCTCAATGTGTATTTGTGTGTGTGTGTGTTGAAACGCAATTTCGCTAAATATAATCATTCGAATAGGGCCGGACGCGCGTGTTCCCGTTAAACTTTTAGGGGCTTGGCATTGAGCCATCATCATCATCATCATGATCATCACCAACACGACCATCACCATGGTAATGCAAGAAACATAAGCCAATCATCATCGTAGTTCGAAGCGTACTCTCTTGTGCATTACGAAAATTACACAATTCCATTGGGTTCAATAAAAACGCGCGCGCATCTCGTAAAGCGACGAGGACTTACAACATCATCTCGAAACAGTTTCTAAGAATTGTAATCGAATTAGAATTTTATATGATTTTTTTTCAATCAATTTGTATGTTTCCTTATTCTGTCAATAGAAAGTAATGTCAAAAAAAGTGACAGTTATTGTGTCATAAGTATAAAAGTCATTGATTTGATAATATTTCAATTGTCAAATGTTATTAAATTATGACATTTTGATTGATATGACAAGTTTTTATTTTTTGTAGGTTTAATTAACAGTAATTTTTATTATTCGCTATTGTTGTCAAAGTATAATTAACCTTTAATATCGATAATTTGACACGAACGTCATTATTACAATTCGTTGACATTTGCTGAGTTGAGCGTTTTTTTTTTGCGCACTTTTGATTTAATAGTCGAGAGAAGAAAAGTTTGCGAAACGTAACGAATGCGCGCCCCGCATATTAAAATGTCAAAGTCTCTTTTCCTTATTTCTTCCTCTCCCGTCTACGAATTATTTTCATGATCTGCATATTCTGCATTCGCGAACGTTCCAATTACCAACAATATTCGCTGTCGTTGCAAATGCCAGAGCTAGATTGCTGCAGGCTCTCCTCCTCTTATGTTTATACACTAGTAAAACACACTAGAATATTGATCATTCACATGCAAGTAATTCGTACATTGACAGTTAAGTATGTCAATTAATTAACAATTTAAATATTGACAGTTTGTTTTTTTATATGAATTTGCTGTTGGTAACAATTGATTACGCAATGTCAATTTGATTTTTGACAGTTATATAACCTTTTTTTTAAACGTTTAGTAAAACACATTAGAATGTAGGTCACTCGCTTGAAAGTAATTCGTACATTGACAGTTAAGTATGTCAAATTATGAATGACAGTTAACCTTTAAATAGTGACAGTTTGTTTTTTTATATGAATTTGCTATTGGTAACAATTGATTACGTAATGTCAATTTGATTTTTGACAGTTATATAACCTATTTTTTTTTAAACGTTTAGTAAAACACACTAGAATGTTGATCGCTCGCTTGAAAGTAATTCGTACATTGACAGTTAAGTATGTCAAATTATGAATGACAGTTAACCTTTAAATATTGACAGTTTGTTTTTTTTTTATATGAATTTGCTATTGGTAACAATTGATTACGCAATGTCAATTTGATTTTTGACAGTTATATAACCTATTTTTTTTAAAACGTTTAGTAAAATACACTTGAATGTTGATCGCTCGAATGAAAGTAATTCGTACATTGACAGTTAAGTATGTCAAATTATGAATGACAGTTAACCTTTAAATATTGACAGTTTGTTTTTTTTTATATCAATTTGCTATTGGTAACAATTGATTACGTAATGTCAATTTGATTTTTGACAGTGATATAACCTATTTTTTTTAAAAACGTTTAGTAAAACACACTAGAATGTTGATCACTCGCTTGAAAGTAATTCGTACATTGACAGTTAAGTATGTCAAATTATGAAGTTTGAAGTTAGTTGAAGTTTAAAAAATATTTATTTAGAGTAGATATACATATACTCAAATTATGAATGACAGTTAACCTTTAAATATTGACAGTTTGTTTTTTTTTTATATGAATTTCCTATTGGTAACAATTGATTACGCAATGTCAATTTGATTTTTGACAATTATATATCCTTTTTTTTTTTAAAACGTTTAGTAAAATACAATTGAATGTTGATCACTCGCTTGAAAGTAATTCGTACATTGACAGTTAAGTATGTCAAATTATGAATGACAGTTAACCTTTAAATATTGACAGTTTGTTTTTTTTATATGAATTTGCTATTGGTAACAATTGATTACGTAATGTCAATTTGATTTTTGACCGAAATATAACCTATTTTTTTTTAAAACGTTTAGTATATAAAGAGCAGATGATGTTTGATGTTAATCTCATCATCGTTTGCGATCTGCGTCGATGAAGAAATGG